TCACTATTCCGGACCATGTCGAGACGCGTAAGGCCAGCGACTCGTCTAAGAAAGCCCATTTCAGCAGCTAATAATCTCATTATTTCTAAAAACTATGTTTATCGGATTCATAGCACCACTTCATTGCTTCTACCATATAAAAATGGCGCCGTCGCTCCTGAATGTTTTAGTACTAGCAGTACACAGGGGCACCTCTGATAATTTTGTTAGTCAGAGCAAAACTTTCCCTCCATCAGTGACATTTTATAACCATGTGTCAAAATGCATTATACGTAGCAGCTCATGAAACGTCATTGATAATGATCAAAACGAAGTTTTAGACAATGAAACGATGCGATAAGCATCTATTTACGACAGGCGCTAAACTACCACGAAAGCGTTACAGGCTTGCATGGTCACCAAAGAATGTACAGGAGCGGTGCCTTAACACTGCGAATCAAGTTATGATAAACTTAGATGCTAAGAGTTATAAGAAGGTAGAGATATTACAATGGCAATACAATGAACAATTATTTTGTTATTATTACTTACTACTTAATTTTGCAGTAACAGAATGTTCCTGGGTTCCATACGATCGTGATTCTAGTAAAGCATTGCAGCAGCGCTTCCTTTAAGGTGATTCAGATTAAGTCTTTAAAAAGTTAAGAAACTTTCATCACAAAGAATGTTAATTTTAATTCTTTAATGATTAATTCGATTACGGTCAATAAAAATTTATTTTTTAACATTCGAAACATGCTTTTTCTATGAAAAGGAAAAACTGGAATTACTCCAATCACAAGGAAGCTTTATGAATGATATCGGTGTTAGACTTTCTGAGAATATTATTGTGATTATCTATTTTGAAACTCTTGGATAAACACAGTCAGTTTTTAATGCGTTCGCTGTTTTATTTACACACCGTTATAACATGATGTGATATTCAGAGCAAATGCTGCCGATGTGCAGAAGTCTTTTTAATATTCAGAGTGCTAAAATTTTCTACTTCGTTACAACAGCGACAATGACGCAAGTATTGTGCTCCCTCAGCAGACGACGATGTTAATGTCAGCAAGGCTTTTACTGTCTATCCAATCGGCGAGATAATGCTAT